TTCAGTTTTTTTTCAGACATCAGAATTCACGAACTGTGACAGGAGTTAAAAGAAAAAGAAAGACTAATTCAGATGATAAAAGGTCAGAAGATGGTTCCTTTGCATTCAAAGTGCCTATAGCCACCTGCTGTGGAGGCACACGCTGATATTTGCAGCAACTCGGAGGCCGAGGTGGGAGGATTGCAAGTTGGAGGCCAGCCTCAGCCACTTAGTGAGGCCCTAAGCAACTCAGCAAGACCCTGTCTCTAAATGAAATATAAAAAGGGCTGGGGATGGGGCTCAGTGGTTAAACGACCCTATATCAATCCCAGCAAAATGTAAGTAGAATATAAATATAAATATTAATAAGCAGAATATAAATATACATTATTAATTTTGCTATATATTTTTTTTTACTTTGAAAGAATTCTCAACATTTTTAACATATAATTAAACAGAATTCAACATTGTAAACACTTTCAAATGCCATTAAAATGCAGGGCTTTAAATATATGTCTATTTTGCCAGGTGTGATGGCACATGATTATAATCCCAGCAACTTGCGAGGCTGAGGCAGGAGGATTGTGAGTTCAAAGCCGGCAAATTCGAGGCCCTAAGCAACTCAGTGAGACCCTGCCTCTAAATTAATTACAAAATAGGGCTGGGGCAGGGGCTCAGTGGTTGAGTGCCCCTGAGTTCAATCCCCGGTACCAAAATAATTAACAAATAAATAGGCTCGGTGGTGCACACTTGTAACCCCAGCAGCTTGGGAGGCTGAGGCAGGAGGATTACAAGTTCAAAACTAAACCCAGCAACTTAGCAAGACCCTGAGCGAATTAGCGAGACCCTGTCTCGAAATAAAACATAAAAAGGGCTGGGGATGTGGCTCCGTGGTTAAGTAGCCCTGGGCTCAATCCCTGGTACCAAAAAGAAAAGAAAATACACACACAAACGTGGAGTTCGTTCTTGTTTTTGAAAGCAAAGGGATTGAAACTCACACAGCGGTTGCTTGGCTTCCAGGTGGCATAGACGCCATGCAGGGAACGGACATCTGCTTTCCTGGGGCGTCCTCACTGGGGGCTAGGGGACCTGGGCATTTCTGAAGCAGTGTACAACATGAACGTAGGTCTGACTTTGTTGTGCCCTGATCCAAAGCTGTCCTCATTTTCCTCCCCTCCAGCTCTCTGAATTATCTTTCCAAGTCTGATGGAATCCTAGGATATTCCTGGGGTATCCCAGGGAACCAGAGCTGCCTGGAGAAGACTCTGATTGTACCTGTTGAGGCAACATCACTCCCCAACTAATACTGCTATGCACAGTGACCTAGGCTGTGCACTGCATAAATGAGAAAGCAGTCTTCTCACCGCAGTCTCAGTTAAGGCTGCCCCCAGAGTTGTGCGGCAGGAAGCATGCACGGTCCTTTTTGAAGGTCATGAATCTATCCATTCATTTTTTTTTAAATAAGTAAAAGATCACTCTGTCCATCCAAGCAAATATTTACAGGAAATTCAAAGAATCAGGTATAAAGCCGGATTCATTGGAAAACCTTGCCCTTAGAAGCACGATCGTCCCTCCACCGGAATGATCCACAGTCATCCCTCGAAAACCGTGAGGGTTGGTTCCAGGACCTCCCAAGGACACCAGAACCGGAGGATGCTAGTCCCCGACATCAACCCTGTGAAATTTGCACAGAATCTATGCACATCCTTCTGTATACTTTAAGCCATTTCTAGAATATTCCTAATAACGGGTGCCATCGGACTATGGCATAAAGAGTTGTCACTCTGTGAGGTCATCTTAGTGTGATCGTGAAAACTCCTTCATGAAGCTGGGTGCGGTGGTGCGTGCATATAATCCCAGGGGTTCGGGGGGAGGCTGAGGAAGGAGGATCGCAAGTTGGAGCCAGCCTCAGCAACTTAGCAAGACAGAGTCTCAACATAAAAGATGATTAAGGGCTGGAGTATGGCTGAGTGGTAAAGCTCCCCGGCTTCAATGCCCAGTACCAAAAAGAAAAAAGAAAAATCCTTGAGAGGACTTCAACTTATTGAGTAGAGGCAAAGAAATGCATCAAGTTTGGAGGTCTCTCTCTCTCTCTCTCTCTCTCTCTCTCTCTCTCTCTCTCTCTCTAGCAGGGATTGAACCCAGGGGTACTTGACCACTGAGCCACATCTCAGCCCTTTTTACATTTCATTTTGAGACTGGGTCTCACTGAGTTTTTGAGGCTGGCCTCCAACTTGTGATCCTCCTGCCCCAGCCTCCCAAGCTGCTGGGATTACAGGAGTGTGCCACCAGGCCCGGACCCGGGGCAGATTTTGCATTGCGGTGGGGGACGGTAAAGAAAATCACCTTCCAATGACACTAGTTAAAGGTGCGTAAGGAAGACTGTCTTCAGGGCCACGGGTACAGTGGGGGAGAGAGGTGGGCTCGACTCGGAACACAGCCCCCAAAGTGGGGGATTTAGCCCGCGGTGCAGGGTGAGGTAGGCGGACCCCTCAGCAGGGGATTCCAGCTGAACTGACCTAAGTCATTCCAGCTGATGACAGGCCACATTGATCAGATGTCACCCAGGGACAGTGCAGGGTATGAGATATGGGGGTTAGTGGGTCCTTGCTAAGGTGACTTCACAGGGTTCTTGCTAACCCTGGATTCTTGCTTTCTTTCTAGGTACCAGGGATTGACCTCAGGGACACTCGACCCCTGAGCCCCGTCCCCAGCCCTATTTTGCATTTTATTGAGAGACAGGGTCTCCCTGAGTTGCTTAGGGCCTCGCTTTGGCGGAGGCTGGCTTTGAACTCGCGATCCTCCTGCCTCAGCCTCCCGAGCCTCTCGAATTACAGGCATGCGCCAGTGTACCACTGTACCACCGTAAGATTGGATTCTTTAAGGACGAGCACACCTGGGTTGTGGAGCCTGAGTCCAGTTTGGCCAAGCAGAGAACCGGTCAGTGCAGCCCAGGGTGCATGTGAGAGGCACAGACATTGGATTCCAGCTATGACTTAAGAGGTGCAGGTCATTTCCAATACATGAATGCTGTTTTTTATTTCATATTCACATTTTTTAGTCTTTGGGGATTAAAAAGAAGGTAGTAGTAAAGACTCAGCTTTTTGGCACTTGGATACTAGAGACCTCTACCCCACCAACACAGTGTGTCCCAGGCTACTTCCTGCTTCCTCTTTATGCTCCCTGTGTGCAGGCTGTGTTGAAGCGACGAGAGCGGATTTGGATTTGCCCTGTCTTTGCTTTTCCTAAAGAATCAAGGTGTGTGTGAGGGAGATTTTCCTGTCAGATTTCTACTCTGAATAGTAAAGCAAAGGGAACTGGTCTCCAGGGTAAGATCACTACCCGTCTCGGGGGCTTTTGCAAAACACACGACGTTTCAGTGTGGACACACACGGCACAACAACACGAGGCGCAGATCCCGGCAAAAATTGCTTTTGTGACTGCGTTGGACCAAACACCATCAACCCTCAGGGTTCACATTCCTTTCTTGCATTTGATTGATTGATTGACAGATGCAGATGGATGCTGGGGATTGAACCCAGGACCTCATACAGGGGCAGCCGCACCTGTACCACACAGCCACACCCCTGACCCTCAGTCTTTATAATGGAACCACCATGTGGCCCAGCCATCCCACTCCTCAGTCTATACCCAAAGGACTTAAAATCAGCACATACTACAGGGACACAGCCACATCAATGTTTATAGTGGCACAATTCACAACGGCTAAACTGTGGAATCAACCTAGGTGCCCTTCAGTAGATGAATGGATAAAGAAACTGTGGTATATCTACACAATGGAATATTACTCAGCCATAAAGAAGAATGAAAGGAATAGGAGACATTAGACCCCATTCACGTAGGATCCATCACAGGGCGTAAACACATCATGTACAATTAATTAAAACAAATTCAGATTTTAAAATAATAAAGTCTGTGGGGAGCCCTTCTAAAGGCTGTAATGGGACCTTGCTGCACCCTCTGATCGTTGAGACCAGGGACTGTCTTATTTCTGCCTCTTCTCGGTGGCATCTCTGGTGCTCGGAAAGGTCTTGCTGTCTAGCTGCTAAACATGACTTAACTTCATGCTTTTAATCAAACCCAGCAGACACCCCACAGGTCGCTCCCGTGGGTTCCCCCAGCAGCTGACATTCTCCAACTCCCCCCATCGACCCTGCAAACGCCATCATCTCATTTTTCTTGATTAGGGTAGCACCTTCTGAATTGTATTGGGAGGCACTTTTAAATCCAACCCGGGTGCTTGGTGCTTGATGCGCTGTTTGCGCTTTGCAGATTAAATGACTAATCCCACACCCATCCAAAAGCTGGCCAGGTGACGTAATCCCCCGACAGATATTGCCCCATCACCAGGGGCTTCCTGGACGCCCACCTGCACCCAAGGTCTTGAGTAAACACCGTTCACCGTGCATCTGAGGGTGGCTCGGAGATGGGTGTCTCCGCCACGGGATAAAACCACACCAAGGTGTTCACACGGGCTGGGCTTTCTCCTCTGTAGCTCACACCCACAACTGAAGATAACCCCCCTTGTGTGGACACATCAACAAGTCACCAAGGGCCGGGGGCCGTGGCTCACACCTGTCATCCCAGTGGCTCGGGAGGCTGAGGCAGGAGGATCGCGAGTTCCAAGCCAGCCTCCGCCAAAGCGAGGCCCTGAGCAACTCAGGGAGACCCTGTCTCTCAGTAAAATGCAAAACAGGGCTGGGGAGGGGGCTCAGGGGTCGAGTGTCCTGAATTCAATCCCTGGTTACAAAAGAAAAGAAAAAGGAATCATCCCCAACCCTGAAAACAACACAGACTTTCCACGCTGGTCCTTCTGAATGCTGTTGGAAGGGATCCCCTCAACTGCAGTATCTCCCTTAGTGCCCTGGGGAACCCCAAGGTCCAGTGAGCAAAGAAACCCTGGAACCCGAATGCAGCACCATCACTGACGGAATGGAAATCGGGTTCAGGGAGACTGATGTCATTGAAGGATTTGACCCCGCATTCACTGAGGACACCTGTTAGCTTTGATTGATTTTTATTTAAATAGTGGGGGGGCAGGCCATTGACATGTCAACCCTCCTGAGGGAAGGAATCAGTGGGGGATGTGCATGTGTCTATGCATATAAATATATAGGTACACCTGTGTCTCTCTGTCCGTCTCTCTATCTGGATGTACATGGTGAGTAGCGTCGATCCTGTGTCCCACGTAATCGGGGTGATCGGTACTCATTTGCCTTCCCGTTACCCCGGACTGGACGTCACCACCGTCTGCTAGCGATGATGGTCCTCCTTGTAAGCGCCGTCCCTTCCAAGGCGGCCCGGGCTGAGGTCTGAGCAGCTCTTGCTACACTTGATGGTCCTCTCCGACTTGGGTCACCGAGGGCCCACGAGGACGGACGTCCGCAGGCCCTGCAAGCCCCTAGCTCCTGCGGACGGTGACAGCGTGGCCTCTCTGTGGCCAGCGGCTAGTTTCTCGTCCCCTGCTCCTGCCTCTGCTGGTCGCACTGGCAGGACAGACCGGAGGAGGAGGCACAGCAGACCTGCAGCCAGGGTTTCCACAGAGTGTTCCCCAGGGACAGCTGGTTGGGGACATCGGCCGACAGGGTCTGGGTGTGGCGGTCCGCGGCCTCCTGCATGACCCTCAGGATGTCCTGGAAGCGGGGCTCCGTCTCCGGAGTCAGGGGGCTCGTCTCGCCGGGGTCCGTGGAGAGGTCGAAGAGCAGGGGCGGCCGGTGGCGGGTGACGTGACCGTCCAGGCAGAGGCACACGTGGGTGCTGAAGCAACCGTTGGCGCCCTTGGGGTTGAACTTGGGCGTGAAGTAGAAGGCCTTCCAGACGGAGGAGCCTGCGGGGGGGGGAGAGGAGACAGGGTCAGGACGGCGGAGAGCCACCCGCGACTGGGCACAAAGGCAGAGCCACGCTGCAGGGGCTTTGAGAAGGTCAGGACGTGTCCCTCGGTCTCGGGTGGAACCTCGTATTTCTCGCCCACCCCCCGGGAGCTCAAAGAGATGCAAATACAATATTCCAAAAAAAACCCTGAAATTCTTCTGATCCCGAGAATTTGAGATGAGTAACAATTAATCTCTCTTCTTTTTTTTGGTTGGGGGGATACTGGCGATCAAACTCAGGGGCCCTCGACCCCTGAGCCCCGTCCCCAGCCCTATTTGGCATTTGATTTAGAGACAGGGTCTCCCTGAGTTGCTTACGGCCTCCCTTATGGTGGAGGCTGGCTTGGAACTCGCGATCCTCCTGCCTCAGCCTCCAGAGCTGCTGAGATCATAGATCACCTTCCTGAGGCCTTTCCTAGGAAACCGGAGACCTTTCTAAGGGGAAGCCCCCTCCCACACCCACCCAGGACCTATTTAGGCTCCTAGGGTGATGTGCATTCATAATGCCACGGGCCCCACTTGGCGACCGCAGGCTTCGTGATCAGCGGATCAGAACCCGACATAAAGGAGCAGAATCTACCTGAAGCACTGGACACGGGCGTCTGCACTGCCCCCGAGCAGCCCTGACCTCCCCCGCGAGTGCGTGCAGGGGAAACCTGGCCCTGCGGTGGTTTTGTTTTTATTTTGGGAAGACGCCGTGGCCAGCCGGGTGAGCTGCCCGGCCTGAGTCCATCCGGGCTCCTGATGAGACGCCTGCTTCTGAGTCACTTAGAGAGCCTGTCCCGGATTCCCAGCTCGGAAATGACCAGTTCTGACCACTCATCTGGCCCTCGAGGTCTCCGGCTGTCTGCAGTCTCCTTATTGCCGGCTGAACGGCTCCCTCTCTGAGCGCAAGCATTGCTGTCTCCCACGTCTCTCAGGTGCACAATACCTCGCGTATAATAGATGATCAATAAAAACGTGTTGGGTATCAAATGGAAAAGACGGCGGGGTCAGGGTCACATCCAAACCGTAACAGTCAGGGATGGAGCCCACGGAAGAAAGACCAGGGCCAATGACCTCCTGGGAGACCACACACAGGAGTCAAGAGGACACGGATGAGCCCCAGGGGCACACAGAGAGGTGACCAGGTGGACGGGTCATCTTCTCAATGTCCACAGAAGAGCATCACGGTCCCGGCTGAAGACCCGCCAACGCGCGGGCAGACCCTGAACGCAAACCTCGTTGCCTGGGAGCCAACCATGATGATGCTCTCAGGTGGACCAGACCCCAGGAAGACGCGTCACCCTGCAGGTGACCTTGAAGGAAGGATTCTATGTGACATGGAGGCGGAATGAGAGAGCCATCCAGGGAGAGGTCCGTGGCTACCCGGGAGGCACCTTGGTGTCGTGGGTGCCAACAGGAAAAGAGATGAAGGATCATTAGACCTCACAGGCTCCGGCTAGAATCCTGTAGAAAACACCGGGTCGGGCAGCCCATGAGAGCAAATTCGGGTCAGGGAGGTCAAGGTCAGATCTGAAGGGCGGACATAGGACGGGTGAAGTCGGAGAAAAGAGATGCCCAAGATACAGGGCGAAACCAGCCGATGGGCAGGACCGGGCACCGACTGAAATCAAGGTCAGGTGCGGTCAGAGGGTGAGGTCAGCATCACCCACGGGGGCTTCCGGCAGTCTATGTGGATTCCCTTGCCACGGGAAAGCTGTTTTGATGTTAAAACCACGACTCGTCTCTCCGAGTTTGGACAAAGAGGGGCCTTTTAGAAACACGAACACATTCCTTTCCAATGGATTCTATCATCTGATTGCTTTTTGCTTTTTGTTCTAATCGTTTCAAAGGAAGCTTATTTTTTTTTTTCCCCCTTAATCACAGGAAGAAAATAACAAAACTGGATGAAAAAAAAATGGATCACTTTTTTATGACCCAAGGAATGCTCGGTCAGTATGAGAACGATCCTCACCTTCTCCAAGGGGAAGGAGGTGTCGCGAACCCTTTATCCTAAAGGAGGTGTTAGTGCTGGGGGTTGAACCCAGGGCCACTTAACCTGGAGCCATATCCTGCGCCTATTTTTTTCTTTTTTTTACATTTTCCTAGCCTTTCTTAGTTTTTGAGAGAGGGCCTCACTAAGTTGCGTAGGGCCTCACTAAGTGGCTGAGGCTGGCTTTGAACTGGCGATCCTCCTGCCTCAGCCTCCCCAGCCTCTGGGATTACAGGGGTGCCCCACAGCACTTGGCTTGAACTAATGTTTGTCGCCCACTCCCTCACGAAAGCATGGGATTTCAAATAAATAATACGACAAATAATTTATAGACAATATCGAGATACCTTACATGTTTGCAGAAGATGCTTTACCCAAGAGCCACGGGTCATGTAACCCCCGGCCCCTGTTCTGAAAACCAGTTCTCAGATCCTTACGTGATCTCACGGCTGTGCGTGACCATCTTAGCGTTGACTTACATCAAGAAAGATCACATTATCACTGTGTGCCATGTCAAGCCATGGAATCCGTCACTGATAAAAATGTCCGTGTATGGCTGGGCACCCGTGATCCCAGAGGCTGAGGAGGCTGAGGCAGGAGGATCGTGAGTTCAAGGCCAGCCTCAGCAACTTAGTGAGGCCCTAAGCAACTCAGTGAGACTCTGTCTCAAAATAAAATACAAAAAAAATGCTGGGGTTTGGTGCTCCTGAGTTCAATCCCCAATACCCCCCCCCAAAAAAAAAAAGAAGTCAGTATACGGCACGTGGCTGTATTAATTATATATTATAATGCACTGTATCCAGAATATGCCTACAGCCGTCCCATGAACTGCAGTATGAATTGCAATGTGTCCACCTAATTCTGGACGCCTACTTAAATAGAAGCACTTATTTTCACCGACTACAATCATTAGCTGTATTGATTCAGATGCCAGAATTCACAGTGACCGTTTTTAATATGCATCAGACAATGAATGCTTGCCTCAAAAATCTTCATTTTACTGCATGAAAATATATCCATGTTATAATAATGGTTTCACGGGTTTTTAAAAACATAGTGGGAGCCAGGTGTTCTGAAGGCACACACCTGTAATCCCAGCGGCTTGGGAGGCTGAGGCAGGAGGATCGTGAGTTCAAAGCCGGCCTCAGCAACCTAGCGAGGCCCTAAGCAATTCAGCGAGACTCTGTCTCAAAAGAAAAAAAAAAAAGATCTGGGGTTGTGGTTCAGTGGTTTAGCGTCCCTGAGTTGGATCTCGGGTACTGAAATAAATAAGTAAATAAAATACGTCGGGAGTAATGACACTGGCTTGCAATTCACTCACGTCACTCAACCGGGTGAGAGACTTAATAGAGAAGGTGGTGTACATAAGAAGTAAAAGGGATTCATGTTTTAATCGGGTTGAACGTGCTAGAACATGCAATCCCAGGTGCTCTGTGGACCAAGGCAGGGGGATTGCAAACTTGAGGTCAGCCTGGGCGATGTAATGAGACCCTGTCTCAAAATTAAAAAAAATAATAATAAAAATAAAAAGGCTGGGTATATAGCTCTCAGCGGTACAGTCACCCAGCAAGTAAATAAATACGTAAATAAAAATAAAAGGTTGGGGATACAGTCCTAGCTCTCAGTGGCTTGGGAATAGTATTTATCCAGTGTGAAGAGGTGATGTTTAGGCTTCCCACTAACCAGGGCCGACTGTAAGTGGTCTTCACATTGGGAGACAGCTGTGGTTGACGGGTGTTAACGTCAACGGGGGTAACGTAGCTCTTGGAAGGAGAAACAGACCTGGGTTGGCTGAGTTTGCCAATGAATGGGGTGTCAACAGTCCCCTCTTGGGCCAAGTGCAAACCAAAGAGGTCTAATAACCAGCTGCCGAGACCCCTGACTAACGGGGAATCCATCATGCATACCACTGCCCAAACCCTTGATCCTAAATTTCTTTCTTTCTGCCTTTCTTTTCTGTCTAGCGAAGCCTTGTGTCTACACCCCTGGAGAGGACTCCACATACTGTGATGGACATTGGCCACGTCTAGGTCTGAGCATCGAAGCCGAATCCCCGGACAAGTCCTCGATCAACCTCCGTACGGAGGAAACCGTCGCACCCCATTATTCCAAGCACCAGTCTGCGGCCCAGAATGCTCTAGAATGGAATCCACTTGCAACGGAAAACGGTGTCCGTTTTGCTCCGTGACAGATGTGCAACGGAGCCGCACTCCACCACAGACACGCACAAAAACCCGGGCAGGGCCAAGCGTGGTGCGTGAGTTTTGCATCTCATTGGGAAAAACAGATCCGAAGTCCTTCTCACAATCCACTGTGGATTCGTGCAACCCACTGTGGATAGGAAAAGGATCTCTTTTTGCTACGTGAGCAAGCCCAGCCTTGCAATACGGTGAATTCTCCTGTTTTTATGTGTGTCTGGCTCGAGACCCAAGAGTTTAAGAAATTGCACTGAAAGGAGTTGATACCGGCGCCTGTCTCGGGAGCCAATTTTATCCCAGGGCCAGTTGCCTACCAGAAACTGGGTCTTGCTTTTCTCACGTATCCCTGTTTCTACCCTCGGTTCTCTTTACTCCTCCACATAAGGCGTCCCTGCAGCCCCTGATCCAATATGTTCCTCCTGGGTCTCTCTCTGCGTGGGGGCTGGCTGGCTGCATTCATTTGCCGTTTGCATAACCGTGCATTTAATTGTTCCATGGACCCAGAATCCCGAGCCCATGATCTCTGCCTTCTAGAACATGCCACCAGGAAGCCATCCAGATTTTCAAAGAAGCGTCCAACTTGGTGCGGTTTCTGCGGCAAATGGCAGGCGCGACATTTTGCACTTTAAAAATGCAAGGAAGGGGGGCTGCTCCGGGTTAAGTCTTTGCAGTGGAGCCCGAGAGGACAGTACCGCAGGCAGGAAGGGAGGGAGGGAGGAAGGACAGGTGGAGGGAGATGAGGAGGGATGGGGAGGAGCCCGCAGTGGGGAAGCACCCTGAGCCTTAGTACAAGCCATCCGCTGGGGCCACCCATTACCCAGGAGCGTCCGGCCCCAGAGATGAGCTTCAGAGCACCCAGAAAACAGGCACGTTTGGTCTCCCCTTTGCAGTGGGAATGGAAAGTCCGACCTCAGCCTCTGACTCTAGAACACAGGATAAAGTGTCACCTTCCATCCGCTCCCAGGCATCTTAGGGACATGAACTCTGTTGTCATACTAAGTTTCAAGGACACACAGACACGCACACATGTTAAACTCTGTAACCACACCGAGGGGACAAATTGAGTCTATTTGTTGCTTCAGGGTTTGTTAGAATATCTTTTGGCTTTGATTGTCAAAATCCAGCAAAGGGGCCGGGCACGGTGGCGCACGCCTGTCACCCCAGCGGCTCGGGAGGCTGAGGCCGGAGGATCGTGAGTTCAAAGCCAGCCTCCGCCAAAGGGAGGCCCTAAGCAACTCAGGGAGACCCTGTCCCTAAATAAAATGCAAAGTAGGGCTGGGAAGGGGGCTCAGGGATGAATGACCCAGAGTTCAATCCCTGGGACCAAAAAAAAAAAAAAAAAATAGACACATACGTTAGGAAGAGAGTCGAATGAATCAGACAGAACATTCCTACGTTCATATATGAATTCACGACCAGAGAAACTCCACGTCATGTACGACCACAAGAATGGGACCCTAATTAGGATGAGATATCCCATGTCTGTGTAACTATGTCAAAGTAGACTCTACCGTCATGTATAACTAAAAACGACATTTTAATTTCATTTTTTTTTTTAAAGAAGGATCTGAAAGGTGAAGCCCTAGCCGTGCAGAGAGCGCTTCAGGGGAACAGAGTGAGAAAGAGTTCCCAGGAATTGAACTTGGCCGACGTGGCCACAGGGTCCCTAAATATAATGCAAAGTAGGGCTGGGGGTGCGGCTTCCCCCGCTGGGGAAGACAGGTTCAGGTGAGCCAGGACAGTGTGGGACAGACACCTATGTGACCAGAGGCTAAGAGAAGAAAGAAGGAAAAAGGGGCCCAAGTCAAGCGCATTCCTGTTCGGGGGCCGGCGGCCTCCGGGAGGCAGGGAGGCCGGTACTCACTGTTGGGCGGGTGCCACCGCACGGCGTTCAGGTAGGCGTTGCAGTAATGGAAGAGGAACTCGTGCTCTGAGCGCCGGGTCTTCCCTTGGAGCAGCGGCATCAGGTCTCGGCCATCGATGACCCTGCGGGAGAAGGAGGTTGGGGGAGGTCAGGTGTGGATCACCTGGGAGCCTTGTGTGGGGAACGTCCGTCCCCGCTGAGGTGCCGGTCTGGGGGCCGTCACCAGCACCAAGGACATCAACCAACCGCAGCAGGGGCCACCTGTAGGGGAGCCCAGCGCTCATGCATTAGAGCAAACCGTGCATGGACGAGGCTGCGGTCAGTCAGTCACTCTCGTGCAGAGCCGAGGAGACGAGCCGTGACTTTGGAGCAATTCTTGCGCTGCTACACAGGATGGCGGTGAAACACAGGCCATCTGACGTTTCCGCTTCTCCTAAACCCACCTTCCTGATGGTCATCCCAACAAGAGGGATGCTTTATGCATCAACTATAAAGAACTGCAAGCCGGCCCCGTGGTGCACGTCTGTCAAACCAGACGCTCGGGAGGCCGAGGCAGGAGGACTGCAGTTCAAAGCCAGCCTCAGCAACAGTGAGGCCCCAAGCAACTCAGTGAGGCCCTGTCTCCAAATAAAATACAAAACCGGGCTCAGTGGTCCCGTGTCCCTCCCGATGGCAAACAAGGCACAGACACCATCAGCCACGGGTTTCAATAAAAGGGCCAAAGCCTCAGTTTGCTGCTTCCTCTTATTTTTTTTTGGTACCGGGGATTGAACCAAGGGGCACTTGACCCCTGAGCCCCGTCCCCAGCCCTATTTTGCATTTTATTTAGAGACAGGGTCTCCCTGAGTTGCTCAGGGCCTCCCTTTGGCGGAGGCTGGCTTGGAACTCGCGATCCTCCTGCCTCAGCCTCCGGAACCACTGGGACTACAGGCGGGCACCGCCGCGCCCGGCTCAACCTTAACTTCTTGAATCTGTTATTTTTCTTTTTCGAACCCCTATATGCCAACGAAACTCAACGTGAGATTTAAGATTTGGGGAGAGGGAAGTGCTTTTATGAGATTGGCATTTGTAACTGAAATAATCGTTATCATACTACTAACAATAAATGGGATTGCATGAAAAATCGTAGGCTCCACGTCTTAAAAAGTTTTTTTCTTAACTTAAAAAGCAAAATATTTCAGTTTAAGTGAAGGAGGGGAACGCAGTCTACGCCGTAAGCTTTTCCTCCTTCCTATGCACAGATAGGCTCTTAAAAAAAAATAATAATACTCTCTCCGACACCTAACACGCTCCTTCCTAGAAGCAGGCTATAAATCACTCCACTCCGAAAAGCTGCCGTTTAACGGTGCCGCAGAAATATGGCCTGTCACACGGAAGCTCATTCCTGCTATGGAAAATCAAAAGTGACCCCATGGAGCTAAACTTTTAAGTGGCGTCTACGCTATCAAAACACTTGGGATTGTTTTAAGCCACTTGTGGGGTTCCTGGCTAAGGATGGTGATAACCAGGGGGGACAGCACAAATGTTTGTATAATATGATTCAGGGGAGTGGGGTGGGTCCACCTGCAACGTGACACAGAGCACGGCCATTTTCGACAGAAATTGTCACCTGATTGGCCTCGGGGGGCTGCGAATTAATTCTAGCCTCTGCAGCGAGTTTGCACAGAGAGCCAAAGCCACGCGCCCGATGGCTCCCGCTGAGAAAGGTGTCTGTTTGCGCGTGTTTTTGATTTGGAAAGGTGAGATCATCCCCATCGGTTTCCCCGGTGACCATGCTGCTAGCAAGATTGACCAAACCTTTCGAAGGGGCCCTCATTTTAGCATTTCGGGTCAGGTTAAGTAGCACAGGGCGGTTTTCATAGAAACAGAGACCCCAACTCAGATCCCTAGTAGCCAGAAAGTTATTTTCATAACCCAAAAAACATTGGTAAGCACCAAACCCTCTGCCGTACGTGAACAGAAAGCAAGATCAACGGCCACTTGTGGGGTCCCTGAAATCCGGTGGCGCGTGCCTGAAATCCTAGCAGCTCAGGAGGCTGAGGCAGGAGGATCACAAGTTGGAGGCCAGCCTCAGAAACTTAACCACTGAGGTTGGGGTGGGGAGAAGGTCCTTCTTTATTCTTCAGAGGAGACTTGACACAGAGCTGCCTCCGTGTCTGTCTGTGGCACGTCCCACAAGACCTAACAGCCTCACTTCAATTTAAATCCTCCCCAGTCACAGAGAGAGAATAAAAATCACCTTCCCTGTCTTTATTAGCACCCACATCGACCACGATAGTATGCATCTATTTTCCGGCCCTAAAAAATTAAAATTGTGGAATAGGAGATGCGAGTATTCCACCTCTAAAATGTGATTTTTTTTTGAGAATATCAGCATTTTTGAGAATATTTGCTTTCCTCCCCACAGAAGAGAATTGAGATGTTTTCCCAAAGCTTCACCAAGTGAGATTTCTTGCCCCTCGTTAATACCCCTGCGAGGAATGGACAGGCCCAGCGTCGTCTGTCGGTTTGCAATGACGAAATCCACAGAAAAAATATTCCATCTTCACGAATTGAGGCATTGAGGTCTTATACTGTATTTTTTTTTTCTTTTTTTTGCACACACAAAAAATTTTGCCTTCCACGTCTTACTAGGATCTGCTTGTGTGGAGACCCCGTATTGGATTTTTCCAAACATGCCTGTGTGTCGGTCACTAAAAGCGCCTTAGATAAGCCACGGCACAGAGCAATGTCACGTAGGCAAGCCACGGGGTCAGAGTGGGGAGCTGTTCTCTGCCGCTGGAAGACGGCACAGCAAACCCTCTGCCTTGCACCCTCAGCTCACCAACCCTTTCGCGGAAGCAGAAATCCTTGCTGCCTCTCTTTTAATTAAGTAGAAACCCTGGCTCTCAGGGTGTACCCTCTCCCGCCAGGCTTTAACGGATGGGAAAAGGCTGGCGCTAGGTCCAAGACTCTTCTTGGCAATTACGGGGTTACATTTGAAGGCAGGATGGTGGCTGAACAGAATTTTGCTTCTTCGGACAAATCATGTGGGAACAGGAAAGCCACCTCGTTAAGAGGATGGATTTCTTCTCCTGAGAAGTGTAAACTTCATGTTGCTCTAGCAAGAAACTGACGAAGCTGGCTGAGGGTGGTGGCGCATGCCAGAAATCCCAGCAGCTCAGGAGGCTGAGGCAGGAGGATCACAAGTTGGAGGCCAGCCTCAGAAACTTAATAAGGCTCTAAGCAACTTAGTGAGACCCTGTCTCAAAATAAAAAAAGAAAAAAAAAAAAAAAGGCTGGGGATGTGGCTCAGTGGTTAAGCTCCCCTGGGTTCAATCCCCAGAAAAAGGAAAAAAAAAGCAAAGAAATCGACAAAGCCCATTTCTATCCATCTTGGCGGGAAAGAGTTAAGGCTCCTTTGTAAAAGGTATGTCTTTGAGTATCAAGTTTATAGACAGAGAGAAATATGAAGATGTAACCTAGAAGCTTTTAATGAAAACTTCTGATGGAATTTCCTATAACAACTACCTTTTCCGTAAAAGAGCGACAATAAATTTTAGAGCAGGATTTCTCAATCTCATTCTGGGTCAGACAATTCACTGTTGAGCAGCTGCCTGATGCTCTGGGAGAGGCTTAGCAGCGCCCTTGGCCTCAGCCCACAGGCTGCAGGTGGTGCCCTGTGGTGAAACTATCAAAATGCCTCTGGGGGTGGTAGGCAGCTCTCCCTTGCTGTGACATTTTAAATAAACTCCTAGGGGACAGTCACACTGGGTGGTAGCCACTGCTTTAGGTGGTGATCCATGCACACCCAGGTTTATAGCAGCACCATTCACAGCAGCCAAACTATAGGACCAGCCTCGGTGTCCATCAGTGGGTGAGTGGATAAGAAAATGTGGTGTAGACACACAATGGAATATTACTCAGCCTTAAAGAAGAATGAAATGATGGCATTTGCAGGTACATGGAAGCAAAAGAAGCCACAGGAGGGAGATCAAGGGTTGTATGTTTCCTCTCATATGTGGAAGCAGTAGTTGGCAAAGGAAAAGAGAGATAGGGGACAGGTCTTATAAAATTCAAAGGGAGATCAGGAGAGGAAAAGAGACCAGCGGGGGGGGTGGGGTGGGGGCATGTACAGAGGGACAGGGAAGTGCTAGGGAGTGATATCGGCCAAATTATATTGTGTGCGTGTACAAATATGTAATAACAGATGCCATCATTATTATGTGCAACTATTATGCACCAGTAAAAAGTACATGGCACACTCCTGTAATCCCAGCTGCTGGGGAGGCTGAGGCAGGAGGATCCCGAGTTCAAGGCCAGCCTCAGCAACTTAGCGAGGCCCTAAGCAACTGAGTCTCAAAATAAAAATTAACAAAAAAGGGCTGGGGATGTGGCTCAGGGGTTAAGCAGCCCAGAGTTCCATCCCCAGTAACCCCCCCCCCCCAAAAAAAGGAAAAAACAAATCAAGAAAAACCTCCGGGACGAGGTGTCCCCGTCACTGTAAACCACAGGTACCTGGGAGCTAGCTTCTGCTGTCATGTGCTTTGGCTCAGGATGGTGAAGGCCCTTATAGCTGGACGAGTCTGAGCCCTTAGGATCCCAGCACAGAGATAATATCCGTGGGCCGACTTAGATCAGAACCAGGATCCCGGATGGGGAGCTAGCAGCCCAGGTAAGTCTTGCATATGGAGAATCCATTCGTTGGTTGATTAATCATTGGTCAATTAATTATTTTTTTACTGGTGCATAATAGTTGCACGTAATAACGATGGCATGTGTTACTACATATTTGTACACAGCCCACACCTGGGTCTACCAAAGGGAAGACTGTTGCCTTCTTCAGTAGTCACGAGTAGGGATCACGGAGGGACCTCCATCCACTCCAGACAGGAGGTGACAGTCACAGAATGTCCCATCATGGATTTTCCCGCGGGGGGGAACCGGCCGCCTTTCTGGGTGTTGCAAACCGCCACTGAGTGGGGGGGGGAGAGGAAAGACGTGGGGTCCGATTGTGGCACATGCCCTGCTGCTCAGTGGCGAGCCAGACAAATGGCAGAGAGCATGAGCAGGCTGGATGAACTGTCTTACGTCACCTCCAAGGGGACTAAAAAATGTCCAGTGACCCTGGGTGACAGCGTCAATCAACACAGAAACCAGTGTGTGGGGTTTTCTCAAAAATATTAAAAGTGCATCTGGCGACCCCATCCTGGGTGTGTATCCACAGGAAATGAAATCCCTAGCAGCACCCTCCGCGCCCACGTTTGATCCAGCGCTATTCACCATCGCCAAGAGATGGAAATGGCGTTGATGGAGCGGGCCCCTCAGAGGGTCGAGGTCCGATTAACTCAACAAGAAGCGTCCAAAGTGTCCCAAAGCACAGATAAGAGAAATGTTTGAGGATAAGGAAAGGCTGATCATCTGCCTCTCGGTTTCTTTCCCCGCGGGCTAGCGGGACAGACAGAAGCCTTTTTCCCATTCGCCAACCACTAGAAAGTCCCACGGCTGGACACAGACCACAGGTCCAGCCAGATATAGCGCTCCATCATCCAGGGGACACGCAGGTCAGCGAAATCAGAGGGAGGCCACACCCCTCCCCTCGAACGGACGGACGTACCTGTCTTTGGGCAAAGGTGACCCAGCCAGCTTGGCCACCGTGGGGAAGATATCCATGTTGCTCGTGGGCTCGTCAATCTCCAAACCGGCCTCGATCACCCCCGGCCACCGAAAGATGCCTGGGACCCGAATACCTCCTTCCCAGTTGTTGGCTTTCCCTCCTAAAAAAAATCCCCCCAAAAAAGAGAGGGGACAGGGATCAGCGTTTAGTCTCTTCAAAGCTCACGCACGTCCGTGTACTTTTCAGTGCTCGGTCACTTTGGGGACAAACGAGTACTCTCACTGGGTGGGCTTCAAAGAGCACTTCAAGACTGAGGACGGCGCCCACGGTGGTGGGAAGAAATAAACGACAAGGTCAACGCTATGCCCGACAGGATCAGCTCTGCAAGGTGGCCCGCGAGTCCTGGCTTTGAACCCAGAGAAGGGCACCCCCCAGCTAATGAAGGGTGGGCAGCATTTCCCAGCCGGCGAGAAAGCAGATCCTTTCCCCGACCCACACTGGAACCCAGCTCCGTAAAGACTTCAGTGATCTTTTTTTTTTTAGCCCAGGAAGGTTGTGACTTCTGGCAGCAGAAGGTGATAAATACAAGCTGCTTTGAGCCACCCGATTTGTGCCCACTAGTCACACTGGTGCTAGGAAATGAGGACTTTGCCCTGTGCTCTGTGGCTGCACCGTGTTTGTGTCACGTCCCCGCAGTGCGCTGGTGCTAGACAGAATGATCATGCCTCATTCCAAGCCTAGTCACCGACGACGACAAGAAAGCAAAATAATAAAAACCTGTTGTCACTGTAGGTCATTACCAGAATAGCTCTTCCCGTGCAGTTGGAGAAAGAAGCTTTGTGCACAGGAAGCAACTAGAATATAATCAAAGCTACCAGACAAGGGACCTGGGAGACACCGCAAGGCTCAGGGTGCATCCGAATATCAACAGATGGTGGATCTCAGAGAGGTCAGGCTGGAGTCCCCAAGCCTTGCAGGTGGTGTGTGGACGATGAGTCAATATATGAACTGCTTCTCTAGAGCAATACCTTAAGATGCATTCACAGTCTAACCTAGAGCTGGGTAATGCACGATCCATGTTGGCTATCAATGCCATCTAAACTGAGGAAGTTAAATCTCTACGACCGCCGGGGTGCCCAGGGATCTTGGAGCACGTCTGCCTTTCTCAAAGATGGGGTTTCACGGCTGAAGACTTGGAATCTGTCACCAGCAAGATGCATTCAGCTGTTTTATGTGCACAGACATTCAGGGGAAATTCACGTGCCATTCCCACCTGCGTGTGTCATTTCTGATCCGGGGTCTGGTGACAGCCGAAGCTCTTCCCTTATCTTTCTCACATCACCTCAAGGTAATGGACTGAGATGCTCTTACCCCGAGTTTCCGACCCGAGAGCCCTTGGCTTTCCAATGAGGGAGGCCCCATATCGACATGCACACAGACGCTTGATAAATAAATATTTCACAAGTCGACCAAGTGCGTTAGCATTTTTCAAGCCAGAGAAGCAGGGGTGGCCCGAGGAATTAGCTCAGGGCGTTTGCGTGAGGACTGTTCCTGGGTAATCACCATGAGCCATATTAATTGCTCAGCTATTATGTGACGTGGGTAGATGCACACACCTTATCTCATTAAATCCTCACACCTGACCCATGAAGGTACAGCTAGCTAGCTGGCGCTCTGCATTGTAAGCATGCGCAATCTGAGACGGAGACAAATGTAGTGACGTGCAGAACGCGCCTGGTCTCAACGGTAGAGTTACTGACACGAATCCAGCCGAGTCCATCCCCGAAGCCCGTGAATTTGTACAGTTCCTTCATCTCACTTCATCTAACGTACACCTGGCTGCAGAGCCACGTAACAGCGTGGGCAGGAAACCTGGCTGTTTAAAAAGCAGATGGCCCCACAGGCATCCAGAGGAAAAATCCAAGGTCTGTGAATGTCACGTGTCTGGAATGCATTCCCCCTCGGGGACCTTGGTAATGTCCCCGACTTCCAGGTAACGGGAGATGAGTCTAACCAAAGTCAAAACCAAAGACAATTCCTAGAGAAACCCGAGGACCCTGAGTCCCATTCCAGAGACTCCAAATCCCCCCCCAAAATTCCAAGCCATAAACAGCCATGTGCACACAACACTCACACCTGCCTGCAAAGACGTGGCTTATGTGTGTGCAGGTGACAGGCCCAGGGCACCCTCAGTGGTGGCCCAGGACCCCAGGGAGGCAGCTGTCTCTGCAGCCCCCAGACCCAGCCTCCTGCCGACCACCGCGTGCATGGTGGCATAGTATCAGATACGGCTTCCTCATTGACGGTCAGAGTCACAGAGGCAAATACGATTGCTCATCACATGGCCTGGCTGCAGTCCTTCTCCTCTCGCAACGTGACGTGGAAACGAAAATGCAAAAAAACCGTGCCCAACAAACAGGCTGAAGAGCTCGCTCTTCCCCAGCGCACAACCCATTCAGCACCTGAGAAAACCTGGTCCAAGGTACACAGCAAGTGACCGAAGCTACAGAGAGAGTTTCAAGGATCTGTCCTTAGGTTGTTCGGATCCCAAAGTCACCAAAGGGGACACAAAGATATATGCATGGGGTTCGTGCCTTGCAGAAGCTCACAACCTCCAAGGACAGGGGGTTGAGAGGTTGTCACACGTCCCCACTTTCAACATCGTGACTGCCCGCCACAGAAGGCCGATGGCAGGGTCCTGGGGCCCCCAGGCAAGCGAGGACAAGGCTCTTCCTCCGGGCTCTCCTCGGGGACAGCTGTTTCCAAACGAGGCTGCTATTTTCGTCCCTCCCAACGCCGTCACTCAGCACGGCAAGAGCATATGCCAGTCATTCTCCAGCCTGATCCGGGCACAGAGTTTTGAGAAATATTTCTCTTTTTTTTTCTTCTCATTTTCCTGCTCTCTGGGTGTCCACCCACTTGGGATAGCGCTGAACGGAGGCCAAGCACATGGAAGGAGGAGGATCTTGTCATTCCCGCTAGCTGGGTCCTGCTCCAAGGCGGGGGACGCTACGCTCTCTGTGATTGACGGATTCCAAGCCCTTAGTCCCAAAAGGGCAGATGGGAGAAATGACAATATTTTGTGGGTCCTACCAACCTATATCCACCCCTTACCAGGTGGGGAAGTAAGGGGCCTGATGATTTCTCTGCTCAAGTGATAAATCCCTGTAGAATTAACTGATATAACTTCAACAATTAAGAGACAGTCCCTAACCTGTCCACCAGACTGCCACAAAGTCCAGGGCTGCAAATGTTTTCTCTACATAAGATCCAGATGGCCACTATCATTAAATATATTTATGGGGGGGCTTTCCCCATGACCCAACTCTGCAGCTGAAGCCAAAGATCAGCAATCGTCTTGTGCAACCTCCGTAGATAAGCATGACTGTGTTTCAATAAAACTTTATTTATAAAGCCCAAGCTTTGGGCCACCTCTTGCCACCTTTGCATTAGTTCATTGAATTCTGGTTTAGGGTTAGGCTCCAACCCTGTCCTTAATCCAGACCATTAAGTTCTTCAACACTGAGGGAATCATCACAGCCACTTAATGAACTATATTTTTACCTAATCAAACTCCTTAATATCTTCTGTCTATATTATATATCTGCCTCTATATGTAAATATCTTATATATATTATATGTGAAATATAATGCATATAATGTTATATATATATATTATGTGACACATAGTATATAATGCAGATATTATATAAAATACCTATGTTATATATATTCTGGCCTGTAATATAATCATATCATGGTTAGCTCACTCCCAGTGTTACCATTCCCCCCTGGGAGTTCTCTTACCGGTACGTTACCCTGGCTGGGTTGCTCCATGACACGCTTTGCAAGGTCCCCTGCTCAGAAACGCATTGCAAAGGATGTCATCCTGATGCCAACTGCACAGAGCACACTTACCCCAACCTAGACATCACTGCCTGCTGCAGACCTAGGCTGGAGCGTGTGTGTCTGCAGAGCCTCATCCTCTTGGGTCATGAAGAACCAAAGGACGTGACACTAATCAAGCAAAGAGAAAAGAATACATCCGAGAGAGATTTTTGTTGATTCGCAATTAAAAAATAAAAAAAAAAAAACAGAATGCTGTTTTGTAGCTAAGTGTCCTTTCTGTAAGCAGGAGTATCAGAAGAACCGGTAACACCGTTGCCGATCAGCACAAAGAGCTAGTAGATCTAACCTCCTAGAGACCACCCAGGACCCTGCGCTCTCTGGGGTCCTACCTGAGAACCGAGCCCACGCCCAGCGTGCTCCAAGCAGCCCATCAACAAATGCACCTCGATCGAATGGAACCAAATGAATTTATTCTATAAATGAGGGGAAGGTGATCTTTCCAAATTGAAAAGGCCACTCCTAGAAGACGTGCCACCAAGAGCAGCCTCCCGATGAGCTCACCTGCCAACTTCTGCAGACAGGACCGCGGCATAACTACCATCCGATGAACCACCGGGGATCCCCATGGTATTTCTTCCCCCCGGTTAAAAATATCAATCGCTCCCTGAAAGCCGTGTTGTTCGGCGAGGCAAACGGATGCCAAAATCAGGGATTTTTTTTTTTTTTTTAAAGCAACTCATACAATCCGTTGCTTTTGGAATTTGTGCTTAAGGGAGAAGATAGATGCGTTTCTTGCAGGTGTCGGGGGGAATTTTAAAAGCATCTTGCGGGACGCCAGAGGGTGTCTGTGGTTGAACACTTAGGAAAATATGACTCCCCCCTAGTCTGCAGAGAGAGTCCGTGCAGTTAATTTATCTATTCCACTGACATTTATCACTTGCCCATCGGCAGAGGGAACGGAGGGAGGGATGAGCCTCCTTCAGGGTGACCTTGACGAGAGAGATGGCAAAGATGTTAGAGTCCGATTAACTGAGTTGTTTCTGAGATTCCAGGAGACCCTGCCCCGTGGGGACCAGGGAAGCCACTTAAACTGCATTGCAGGTGAGCACCCCTGATCCAAAGTGCTTGGCAAGTGAAGGATTTACTTATTTAACTTCTGCAAGATTTGCATAGCAGAGTCACATCCTTGAGGGTGAGGGACCAGCTCCAAACACAAAAATATACTAGTTTTATCCTCCCCTTAGGCACAAAGGCTAGAGGTCATCTTACGCCACATTGTAAATGACTCTGGGCGTGAACAAAGTTTGGTAGATGGAATTGTCTGATTTGCACGCTGCCTCCGTGTTGGAGAAGTTGTAGAGACGTCTGGCAGCTGCCACTCATTCTGCACCCTGTCCCCGCTCACCCACGGATGCACACTCAGGTGCACTGTTGCTTGGCGGTTGTGAACCGTGTGCAGGTGTCTGTCTGCACTTTGTGTGCATCTGAGCATCTCCACGCTGTTTTCTGCACTAAGGACCGTGCTAGTTTACACGGTTACTCTGTAGCAGCGTGCAAGGATTCCCTTCCTGCAACATCCTTGCCAATACTTTCCCTCTCTCCTCTCCTCCCCTCTCTTCTGCAATACTGGGCACGGACCTACGATCCCGGTCCTTTTCATTTTTATTTTGAGATATGGTCTTCCCAAGTTGCCTAAGGACCTTTGATTCCTGCCTCAGCCTCCTGAGTAGCTGGGATGAGAGGCAGGAGCCTCTGCCAGGTTCTTTCATGCACTTTAACAGCTGCTATCTCTTTGGGTTTAACATGCATCCCCTGATGATCAGAGAAGGTCACTCGATTTCAAATACTCTCAAGAGCGAACGATAAATAACCAAGGAGGCAGAATGTCCACTCACCGGATCTAATGATCTGACACTGTTTTCATAAAATATAATGTCATGATGAGCCCCATCCACACGCACAACTAAATTTTGTTGATTGGCAATTAAAAAAAAAATAAAAATCGGTACCAAGATCAGGGGTTGGGGCTGTACCTGGGAGATATTGCTACAAAGCATCAGGGAGACCATCAAGAAACCCATTGGAGAAGGTCCTGGGAGCCACGCATGGTGGCTCACGCCTGTAATCCCAGCAATTTGGGAGGCTGAGGCAGGAGGATAGCAAGTTGGAGGCCAGCCTCAGCAATTTTAGCTGAGGGCTTAAGCATCTTAGCTACACCCTGTCTCAAAGCAAAAAATAAAAAAAAGGGCTGGGGATGTGGCTCAGCGGTTAAACAGCCCTGGGTTCAATCCCCAGAACTAAAAAATGAACAAATAAAAACCCTGATTTAGAGGGTGAAGTTGGGGGTGGGGACACTTGTGCCTTCATTAAGAGAATGGGCATTAAGTCCCCTCCGAGTTGTAGGCAGCGATTCCCACTCCTGAAGGCCAAAGGCTGAACGTGGACATTCTTCAATATTTCAATGGCCCGGATGGAATTTTTCCAGGAAATAGATACAAGGGGTCACAGATTAATGTGAATATTGTAGAATTTTTTGTTGTTTACTTATTTATTTTGCTGTGGATAAAAATCCTAACAACTTGGTAGGAGAACATAGTTAGATTAACTAATCCCACTAACGAAGACAAGGAATCCTTGATCACTTCTCCCCACATGAGTGATCAAACCCAGGGGCTCTTTACCAATGAGCTACATCCCCAGCCCTTTTAATTCATTTTTTACTTAAAGAGAGGGTCTCGCTCAGTTGCTGAGGCTGGCCTCCAACTTGCAATCCTGCCTCGGCCTTCAGAGCCACCCGATGACATACATGTGCCACCATGCCCCATTAATCCTTGATTCTCCAGTGGAGAGATGGGCTGTTCCTTGGTTTTGTGAGGTCAATATGATCACTGTGAACATGTAGAAAGTACAAGCCGATCTATTTTGGAGGCGAATATTTCAGAAAGAACTGCAGGAACCAGCTCCTTGATGACATTCATAAAATCCGAGCAGAATTCTACCCGCGAAACATTCCATCTCGCCTCTCCGTCCGATCTCCCTTTAAGCTCCAGCTGATTCACAGACAAAATTCACCCACATCTAGATCTTACCAGGATAATCACACTGAAAGCACATTTCCTTTAAAAGGTGCGTGTGTATGGGGGGGTGGATAATCTTATGCACGTGCCTCCTCGGCAGCCCCTAGGCTCTTCCAGGATCTAACGGGCGTCTGGCAAGAGAAGGAGAGAGGGGAGAACCCGTGTGTGCAATGGAGTCTGCAGCTCCATCCCGAGAGACGCCGTCCTCTCCCAGAGAAAAGAAAGCGACCCTGGTCCACGCAGGCCACAGCCTTGTGGAGATCCGAAGGAAGCATCGCACCTTACTACCCACCCAGACCAGTTTCCACGGCTCACTGGGCTGGAATACGATGGGAAATAGGGGGGTACCCACCAGCGGGCCCTGGACACTGACTCCGACACGCGGAACTGCACCCCTGTGTGCTAGCTGTGAGGCTCCCCAGAGCAGGCGCACGCGGCCACTGCCCTGGGGTCTCCAAGCCTCATGGGGCTGACTCCAGAGGTGCCCGTGGATAGAATTATAAACTTAGCTGTGTGCCGTGGTGCGCACCTGTTGTCCGAGCAGCTTGGGAGGCCGAGGCAGGAGGATCGCGAGTTCAAAGCCAGCCTCCGCAATGGCGAGGCTGTTGTCTCTGCCCAGAATCTCCCCAGAGGCCCAGTGCGCCATTCTCCACGAGGGGATGGACGAAAGCGTCCCGTACACCATCCTTCCACGGCTGCGGGGGCAAACGGATTTCCTACGGCCCTCGCAGTACGCGGAACACCCACGTGACAGAGAAATGACCGGTCAACAGCACTTCCTCGATTCATTCTAGCGAGGTTCGAAGGTCACCTGTGTCCCCACTTCCGACACATCTCTTCGGCTGGCCAGGCAGCCCCACCGTCTGGGACACGGCGCTTCTCGGCCTGGCCACGTCCACGCACCCTCTCTTAGGAGCCGATGGGACATGTCTGCTTGTGTCTCCCACCACACCCGCTGCAGATGTGGCTGAGTGACCAGGTGTGTCCTGTTAGGATCTTATCAAAGCCTTTGTGATGGGGGACACTTGGGTTATCACCAGACGCGCTGGTACCAGCCAGCACCTGGGTGTCACCAAATATTCCCCGGGGACCAACCTGATCCTTCATGGGAACAGCTACGGTGACCCTGCGGCAAGAACCAAGTGGCAGAGGGGACCACGGTTTCCGATAAGCCAAACAATGGCTTCCCAAAGACGTCCTGGTCCCCATCCCTAGAACCTGTCAATAATGTCCCAAACACGGCAGAAGGGACGCTGCGGACATGACCAAGAGAAGCCTCTCGAGGTGGCGAGAGAGGCCGGGGTTACGCAGCTGGCCTCACAGACTCTGTGTGACAGAAAGGTACAAAGGGACAGAGTCACGGGATCAGAGGCGACGGGGCCGGAAGTCAGAGAGAGTCAGGGAGAAGTCAGCAGATGGGGGCTCAAGGAAACGGCGGCCACGGAGCAGGAGGGAGGACAGCGCTGGTCCACTTTGCGCCTCTCACCTTTATAGACGCCGTTACTGCCGCCATGCTTCTGCCCCTTGGCGGTCACCTCCTCCACGTGGGCTCCGTGGTCCGAGGTGAAGTAGACGAGGGTACTGTCGGCCAGTCTCAGCTCTTCTAGGACATCCAAGACCTGCCCTGGGGGGGACAGAAGAGATGCATTTTAACGCTGTTCAACTATCCGGGGAGAAAGGGACGGGGTCCCCTCCTCCGCTGGTGGGTTCCTTCCTCGAGGTGGGGAGGCCACCGCGGTGTACGTGGAATTGACCTCCTCTGTGACACCGGCCCAGGCAGGGCTCCCGAAGGAGCACCCGAAAGGTCCAGTCATCGAGGGGAGCTCACTTAGAAGAAGCATCGTCGTTTCTACAAGTAACCAGCCTCGCGGGTCAGGAGTGGTTTGGCCACCAACCACCAGTGTCCCTGTCCTGGGAACCGGTATGGCAAGATGAAGGATCTTTGCCTCTCTCCATGTGTCTCTATCTTTGATTTCTTTGCAAAGTACTGGGGACTGAACCCAGGCGCTACCTCCTAGTTACAATGAATTTTCAATTCTATTCGATTTATTCTATTCTGTTCTCAGACACATCCTCGCTAAGTTGCCCAGGTTGGCCTCAGACTTGCCATCCTCCTGCCTCAGCCTCCCGAGTAGCTGGGATCACAGGGGTGCACCCCTGCATCTGCTATGAACGTCATCCTGAAAAACTGACAGCAGACACCACCCAACTCGGGAACCCACTGTCGGGACCTCAAATGTTTTCTCAGTCTCACCTTCTTCTCTCCAAACCTCACGCTGCAAACCACCTGCACATGTGACTTTATGGATGATAACTCTGACAGTAAGGACAAAAGCCGTCCTTTGTACCATCCATGAGTCCCCTCTGCAGGCAGAGAGTCTGGTTTCATATTCTCTACTTCAGGGCACACGGGACCCTGGGTGTGCAGACAAAGGCGACGGTGCTATAACAAGATCAGCAACCCATTCGAGCTTGGACATCCAGGAAGTAAGAGTCAGGTAGGTGTGAGTCTGAAACTCGGATAAGTGGGTAGACACAGTGAGAATCACCGTGGAGCCAAAGAGACATTAAATAGACCTCAGAGCCGGGCACGCGGGTGCACATCTGTAATCCCAGTGGCTTGGGAGGCTGAGTCAGGAGGATCGCAAGTTGAAGGCCAGCCTCAGCAACTTATCGAATCCCTGAGCAACTTATGAAGACCCTAAACAAAATATAAAAAAGGATTGGGGATGTGGCTCAGCGGTTAAACACCCCTGGGTTCAATTCCCGGTACCAAAAAAAAAAAAAAAAAGACACTAAAAGAATAAAGATGTCTTTCTGCCGTTTGATTGCCAATGTCACAGGCCAGAGTAGTTCGATCTTTCTCAATTTTTAACTCAAATGACAAACATTTCTGGATCCTGCACCGTATACATAAATGTCACTCAGACACCAGGAGTGAGACAGCTGGCAATCTGTCTCCCGGGGTCAATCATCGTCAGCACGACATTTATTACGGTCCGACCTGGTACAACTAAGCGAGCCACCTGTGCGCGGGAGCTCATTTGGCTCTGGGGTTATTTGGCTGCGACACAAACCTAAGCCTTCTTTCTTTGAAAGTGACAATTAGCTTAACGAGCGGAAGTAGAAGCAGCCAAATGATATCACCCCCACCCCTACTGTGAGAGAAAAATTCCCCTTTCTTCCGCACACGGCTTCCAGGTAGAATCTTACAGGCAGAAGACTCAGGACGTTGCATTCTTCTACTGCAAATAATAATGGAGCACTATTCCTTCATTTCAAACCCCATTCACCTTCCATATATTTAGAAGAATCTTAGCACCAAGAAATTGCAGTAAAAAAAAAAAAAAAATGCTTTGTAACATACGTGGCTTCTGCAATAACTTGTGTTCACAAAAAAAACAAAACAAAGCAAAAAGATCCAAACCCACACACATATGTAGGGCAGGTTTCCCTGCAATTGCCAAAACGTTGGGATGCCCTGCAAAAGGTGAGTGGATACCTAGACGGCAGAGAACCCAGCTGATGCAAATATTAAAAGAATTGAGGGATCCCACTGGGCAAACACATAGAGGAAACATAAATGCGTGTTTTGAGGGAAAGAAGTCAACACGCCGTGTGACGTTATTACGGAAAAAGCAAATAGTGGAGATTGTAAAAGGTTCTGTGGTTGTGAGGGGAGACAGGGAGGGGTAGGTGAACAGGTTGAGCCTGGAAGATGTTCTGGGCTTTGACCAGCGTCTGGCAGGATACTGCAGTGGTGGATGCAGTTAGATACCCCTAGTGTCAATCAAGCCTTCCGTGAATAACAACGTATCAATCCTGGGTGGTCAATGGTAACAAGTATTACATCGTGCAATAGTAACAAAGATGACGCAGTAACTAGGTCAAGGTGCAACTTGTCCCATAGAGGGCACAGGATATATGTGAAAATTCTGTCCTTTCTATTTATTTATTTCTATTTATTTATTTGGTTCCTTAGGATTGAACTCAGGGACACCCGACCCCTGAGCCCTGTCCCCAGCCTTATTTTGCATTTTATTTAGAGACAGGGTCTCCCTGAGTTGCTCAGAGCCTCTCTTTGGCTGAGGCTGGCTTTGAACCCACGATCCTCCTGCCTCAGCCTCCCGAGCCGCTGGGATGACAGGCGTGCGCCACTCTGCCTGGCTCTACTTTCTTTTCAATTTTTTTTTTTTAGGCAGACCTAAAATGGCTCAAGTATAATTTTAATTCAAATGCACCTTGGGCTCCTGGCCTTCGTTATTGACCGGCTCAAAGTGTGTTTGTGCAGAAGCCACCTGGCCTAGGCTGTGTGCGCAGGGCTGGGGTGACATAGGGTTGCAGGGGCAGAGCTTAAATCTGGAGCTGGACTCCTAAGTCCTTTTCTTTGTTTAAGCCGGCCGCCTTGTGTGTCTAGTCACCCCCAGGGGCTACAGACCGACAGCTCCGTATATGTGTGTATGTGCACGTGCATGCGTGCAGTCTCCTTCCAACCAAACCCCCTGGGTCCTTCTGCATGCTGATGCCCCTTGCCGAATATTTCCTCCAAATTCCACTCTTTTTCCAATGACCACGATGACATATCTAATGTGTCCCCATTATTTTTCTCTGCCCAGAGCCATGACTCTGCTCTATCATTTCCATCTCCACCCGGGGCCGGGATGATTGCAAACGCAGCTGCTGAGGCCATCGCCAGGGGACCGTGCAGGGTGGGGAATCGGGTTCAATGTGCTGAGAAATTGTCCGAGTCCTGATTCCCTCTCAGCCCGTGATTTTCCCCAAAGACGCACTCTCTGGACCTTGAACTCTGCAAGTTTTAAGCCAGCATCTCATCTATAGAGCCCAGAGCCCATTAACCATTTAATTTTTCATAAGATTGATCCTATCAAAGGTCTAACCTCTTTCTCGCCTCGGAATTCTGAACGGAAAGTCTCCCCTGGGAACAAATTGGGCCGCAGGATTCTCTCTTTCTATCCTTTTTTTTTTCTCTCCCCCTCAGCGCCGTCAGAGGTCTGCAAATATTATTCTTTTTTTTCCAGTAAGGTTCTTGAGATCTAATGATACCAATTTATATAGGATGATGGTTCTGAATTACCGACAGCGGGCGGCCGGGGAGCCTCTAAACGAAATGTTTTATTTCCAAAGCCTCCTCTCTCGTTGCTCCCGGAATGAAACAAATACAGAAAATAAGCCATTTCGAGAGCACTTTGGGGCTTAACTCGAGGCTCAGGGACCAGCTTACTGTTAAAGCGAGGGCTTTCTGACCCAATACCTTGTCACCCTCAAGAGGAGGAAAAAAACGTGGAAATGCGGGAATGTGGCCGTTTCTCCGTCGTGGGCGGACACAGGTTGCAGAGGAAGGCTGGATGCTGGAGAGCTGTCTCGTGGCTCTGACGCTCTTGCAAAGACCGTGTGAAGCCACCGCTCAGAGGTAGCAGGAGGCTACTCCCTGCAGGTGGGATTCCAGGTGGCCTGTGAGCAAGAGGTCACCACCCAAGGTCCTTGAGTGAGTCCTCGCTTCTGATTGACGCTCCTGATGGAAACCCAGGTCCCCGGCTCAACCCTCGAGATGGGAGATGCTGCAGCTAAGAGCAGGTGGTCCTCTTGGTAGCGAAGCAGTCGTCGGAGACTGGGCCTGAGAAGTGCATAAGGCGCTCCGTGCTGAACGCTTGGTCTGGGACCAGCCCCCGAATTCCAGGGGACACAGGAAACGCTAAAAAGTCGTCTCCCTAAAACTGTGGGTGCTTCACCGGCTCGACAGGGGGACACGGGACTCCTGTATTGTCACTGAGGCTGGAGTTTTAAGATAGATGGGAGGCAGGGTAATTGCAGCCCGGGTGCTGGCTCCGAGTCTCCGTCTGCAATGATAAACGCTCGGCGTTGTGCCGCGGAGGAGGACCTAACAGCCATGATCGGGGGCTCTCCTGTACCATGAGTCGAGGAGCACACACACTCTGGCTCCAGAGAGGCCATCCTTTGTTAGCTCACGTAGGGTCGGAAGCGTCACCGACATCCCATCCGTCAGGGGACAGCTGTCGCCGCCCAGAGACTGATGGTGACCAGTGAGAAGCAATGTCCGCGTTTAACGCAGGGGAACTCGCTGTCATATTTCCCCCTGAAATAAATGGTCAAGGATTCGCAGAACCACAGCCCTGATCTTGTCCCTTCATCGGAGGCTCAAGGGGCCGACAGATGGGCCACCTGCAAGTTGGGTCATTTATCTACGGGATAAAAATCAAGTTCCAAAGCCTCCAAAAGGCCGACTGATTCATGAAAATGCCCCATCAACTTTCACCACTAGCGGAATGCAGACAGAAACCACCCCGAGATGCCATCGCCACCTGGATGAGAATGGTGGTTACAAACAGCAGCCAATTCTGGGGACGATGTGGGACCAAAGGACCTGTCGTCACACGCTGTCGTAGGGACTGTGAACTTGCAGAGCCACTACGGAGAAGAGAAAGGACGTTCCTCCAAAATGTTCACTGCAAAATTATTCCAAGTAAGCAAAGATGGAATCAGCCCAGGTGTCCATCAAAAACGAACACGAAGAAGATGTGGACTATTCTGTATGACACTCTAAAGTAAAGAGGGGTAAAGAATAAATCCTGCCATTTGCATGAA